TCGGGTATCTTCCCAGAAATTCTCAAAAAAGTAGAAGTTAAACCACTATTCAAAAAAGGCAACACTCACGATCTTATGAGTTATAGACCGATATTCTTATTATGTGAATTCTCAAAAATTCTAGAAAAGCTTTTTAATGATAGACTCAAAAAAAATTATCAATTCAAGTAACATATTGACGGAGGCCCAACATTGATTCAGAAATGGTAATCTACGCACACATCTATCTTCACCTTTCTAAACGACATACTTGTTGCTCTAGATCAGACAGAAATCCTCATTGGTTTGTTTCTAGATATATCAAAGGCATTCGACATTATTGACCATCACATACTGTCATCCAAACTTGAAACTTTGGGAATAACAGGCATTTCACATCAATGGGTTAAATCTTACCTCTCAAATCGTCAAGTAGTCACAATCCAGCATCTTAGAGATAGAAACATTTCTACCCATTTTTCCCAATCTAGAATGATAAATTATGGAGTGTCACAAGAATCAATCCTAGGGTCCATTCTCTTTCTATTATACATCAATGGCATGCCCCTGACCTTACAAAAGAGCAAAATGGCCCTATTTGCAGATGACACAAACATTATTATTATTATTAAAGTAAATACCCAACAAACTCTACAAAAAGAAGCACAAACACTCCTAGAGGCACTAGTAAATCGGTTCCAGGAAAATAAACTCATCATAAACACCAGTAAAACTGTCTCCCTAAACTTTCGTAATCCACTCACTGAAGAAAAGTCTCCAGCATAATTGATGATAAAAAACATGCCTGTAAAAATAACCCAAAAACAACTTTCCTTGGATTGACTTTTCAAGATGATCTAAAATGTTACTCTCGGATCACAGATCTAAACAACAATCTTACCTAGTCATGTTATGCCATATATATCCTAAAGTCAAATTCTAACTTAGATACTCTGCGAATGGTGTACTTTGCAAATGTTCACTCACACCTAAAATACGGAATAATATTCTGGGAAAATTCCCCAGGAAGTATACACACTTTCATCATCCAAAATCGAATTTGGAGAACAATGACAAACACTCAGAGACAGGAGTCCTGGAAACCACTGTTCAAAAAATTACAAATTGTTCCACACAGTGAAACTTCACACTTTCAAAAAAGTACCCTTATAGAAGACATTGCACTATATAATAAACTCCCTAGCGAATTTAAAAGCTTAAACTCGTTACACACATTCAAAAATAAACTGAAAGCTTTCCTGTTAACCCACACATTCTACAGTACAAGAGAATATATGCATCATAAACACGTATCAATATAAACTAGTACGAACAATTTTTGCATTTTCTGTTGAATGTTTTCAAACCCCCCTAAACTGGTTGTTGGAAGTAAAAGGACGGACCCAGCCTAGGCACGAATCTATGAAGAGTTTCTTTTTTTATTATTATTATTATTATTATTATTATTATTATTATTATTATTATTATTATTATTATTATTATTATTGATTTTTAACTTAAGTCTTCTTGCACTACCATCTATACAATTAATTAGCATTCCATGATATTATATTTAATACGAGAATTGAATTTTAAATTTAATTTATGTCTCGTATTTAATTTTTAGAAATATCTGATATGTGTATTGTATGATTATATACATATCCTGACTTGTCATGCATGGCGTATGCTGTATTTATGTGACAAATTTATTATTATTATTATTATTATTATTATTATTATTATTATTATTTAGTATTATTACTATTATTATTATTAATCACAGCACTGTTTTATAAAATTTTCAGAATTGTCTGACATTTTTCATTTAATAGTCCTACCTTATAAGTAATGACTATAATGAACTATTTTAGGTAAAAATAACTGGAAATTTAATTACATACATTTATTAATACTGTCCGCGACTAACAAAATAACGATAATGATTTTCTCGACTTCTAATTTTTATCCCATTAGTCGTCGGGCCCCTTGACTTGTGATCCCCCGGTGCGCCAATGCCTAGCGCTGGCACTACCCTCGCAGATTCGACAGCGGCATTTTTGTGTTGAAATCCCTTTTCCCTCGTTTCGAAAAATGTTGAAACAGGAAATCGTCTACGAGTAAGCGATTGCCTTATCAACCTATTACTTTCGAAAACATGATTTAAGTTTTGTCACGACAGTGCGGAGAGATACGTACAGATGATTCCCTAATCGCATTGTAAGGCCCAAAAGTGCATTTATTGAGAACGTTGCGAGAAGCTTGTTCATTCTCTCCGATCTCTTAACGCCGCTTTCTCCAGATTTCCAAGAGGCAAAGTGACCTTGTGGTGAGGTAAGCCGAAGAAAAACCATCCATCAATGTAAGAAGAGTATCTGCTTGGCTAGAGTTTGCGAAGAGGAGTAGGGAAATTTCTTTTCGACTGCGTACCGTAGCAGACTCTGGTTATGAACTTCTGAGAACTAACATTTTTGGTTCACTATATCCCATGAAGTCAAAATAACATAGAATTTCTCCATAATTATTGATTTTATTAATTCAGAGATAAAGCAACATATATTAACAGCATGAACAGAAAAAATCAATATATTATATTTATATGTACTTAAAATATCAATTATATTAATTAAAATATCCTCTCCCCCCTACGACACATACAGTTTTTACTGTTTTTTGACTGAACAAAACTGAATTATTTTCTGTTTTTTGCTTCGAACATTTTTCATTAGTAATTTCCATAGATCCTGCTCTAAAGTTCTTGCTCTCTTCATAGTTGACTCTGCATTGTCCATTGTCTCTTAGAACTGTAATGCAGTCTTGACACCCTTCAATGCCTCTTGCACTGGTGGAACACTCGAAGTTCCTTTTTTCGCTTAATAATTTCGGAGACTGGCTGTGGAGCGGTGGCAGTTCTTGCCACCTACTACGCTCAACACAAGCAACATCAAGCTTCAAACTGAAGCAAAAATACGCATGGCACCTCTACCAGTTGTAGCCTACGCAGTCGCAGTGCAGTTGAGAGACACGAGGACACAAGTAAGGTCCCCATTCCGGGTTCGCTACCTTCACCTCACAGGGGACTCGTTCGATTATGATCTTGGCCGATTTTATTTTTGAAGCTGCCTTGTTGTTGGAATTTTTGGCACGGAGGCGATATATTCTTTTCAAGGACGGAATTAATTTCCAGATCGCTGTATTTCCTATAACCGACGTTCAGGTTTACTATAATCGAATGTTCTGATGTTTATTTGTAATGTAAGTGAAACGCGACCAGTGACTTAAGTTCACTATAACCGAGGGTTAACTTTATCAGAGTTCACTTTCACCGGAGTCGACAGTATTTTCAAAACGATTCAGCGGCGCTACATTTTAAACGTAATGTGCAACACTTACAGTTGAGGTGCCTAAGAAGAAGGACTTCCAAAGTGGCCGGCGAGTCCAGCATACATCAGTCCTTTCTCCTTTAGCCTTCGGGGCCATTTAAAGAGCCTCATGTCTGTGCGGCACCACGGCGGCAAAGGGAACCCGACAGCCGTTTTTGAGGATATCATAAATAAACGGGAAGTATTGTATTCAGTATCTTGTTTCGTACAACCACGGGGCAAATTGTGTATCAGAGATGAAGGGCATTTCGAAAAGCAATTATGGGAACACAACAGCCACAATTTGAAGTTGCGCCAAAGAAGACGATATGTCCAGTGCCGGCGAGTGGGTGGTTTACCCTACCAAAAAAGTATATGAAGTGAAAATTCCAATTTTTTTTTCTAATTGTCACGATTATCATTAAATTGTCATGAAACCGTTATTAAATTTATTTTATGTAACTTCAGCAGTTCATTTTTGCATTGCAAAAACAGCACAGCGCTTTGCATTTTTGGATATACACTCACCTAAAAGAGTTTTGCAAATCGATTTTGTCGGTCATAAACTTGCAAAATCGCAAAGCTGTTTGGCCGATCTTGCAACATTGTTGACCGCTTACACGTTTTGAGAAACTTTATATCTGGGATTTGACTTTTAAGGAATTTTTCTCTTTTTAGCCACTCGGGATGTTCCGGGTGGGAATACCACCATCCCCACCTTATCCGCCGGGTCTGCCTAGGCGAGCGCTACCAAATGATGTGAAGGGTGCCCCCCCCCCCC